CCATTAGGCAAGAAAAAGAAATCAAAGGGATACAAATTGGAAAGGAGGAAGTCAAATTATCTCTGTTTGCAGATGACATTTTCCTATATAAAGGGAGATCAACAGACTCTACTAAGAGACTACTGGAACTCATAAGAGAGTTTCCTAAGTTGCAGGACATAAAATCAACACACAAAAATCATAGCCTTTTATATTCAACAATGCTGTGACTGAGACAGAACTGGTAAGAAAGTACCATTCACAATGGCTACAAAAAATGTAAATGCCTTGAAATAAATTTAACTAATGATGTTAAAATTCTCTACAAAAAATTTTAAAAACATTAAAGAAAGAAATAGAAGAAGACACAAAAATGGAAAAATCTTACATGTTAGTGGGTTGGAATAATTAATATAATCAAAATGTCCATACTACCCAAAACAATTTATGGTTTCAATGTGATCTCAATCAAAATGAAATGACATTGTTTGTAGATCTAGAAAAAAATGATACTAAAATTCATATGGAAACACAAGAGACCCCAAATACCTAAAGCAATCTTATACAACCAAAACAAAGCTGGAGGCACCCCAATGCATGATTTCAAGACATACTACAGGGCAGTTATAATCAATATAGCTGGGTACTGGCAAAAAGCAGACATGTAGGCCAATGGGTCAGAACAGAAACCCCAGAAATTAACCCATGCAGTTAAAACCAACTAATCTGATAAACAAGCTAAAATTAATTCCTGGAGAAAGGACAGCCTCTTCAACAAATGAACATAGATGCAGCTCAAGAAACTCAAAACAACAAAACAAACAATCCAGATAAGAAATGGGCAAAGTACACGAACAGGCATTTTTCCAAAAAAATGAAGTACAAATGGTCAATAGACACATAAAAAAAAAAAGCTCAGGATAACTTTCACTCAGGAAAATGCACAATGAGGTTTTATTTCAACCCCATTCAATTGGCTATCATCCAAAAATTAAAAAAAATGAATAAATAAATTCTGGGGCTGGTGTTAAGCTGCCTGTAGCAACGGCATCCCATATTTGTTCCAGTTCATGTCCTGGCTTCTCTTTTTCCAATCCAGCTCTCTGCTCTGGCCTAGAAAAGCTGTAGAAGATGGCCCAAGTCCTTGGGCCCCTGCACCCATGTTGGAGACTCAGAGGAAGCTCCTGGTTTCTGACTTCAGATTGCCCCAGCTCCAGCTGTTACAGCCATTTGGAGAGTAACTGGTCGATGGAAGACCTTTCTATCTGTCTCTCCCTCTCTCTGTCTGTAACTCTACCCCTCAAATAAACAAATAAAATCTTTTTAAAATTGAAAAAAATGCTGGCAAGCATGTGGAGGGAAAGATATATTAGTCCACTGTTGGTGGGAATGTAAACTAGTACAACCATTATGAAAGATAGTATACAGATTGCTCAGAAATCTGTAAATAGATCTACCATATGACCTAGCCACTCTACTCTTGGGAATTCACCCAAATGAAATGAAGTCAGTATATGAATGAATTATTTGTACCACCATGTTTATTGTAGCTCAATTGTAGCTAAGATATGGAATCAATACAGATGTCCATCAATTGATGACTGGAGAAAGAAAATGTAGTATATATACACTATGGAATACTACTCATTCATAGAAAGAATAAAATCCTGTCTTTTGCAACAAAATTTATGCAACTGGAAACCATTATAAGTCAGTCCCAAAAAAGACAAATATGTTTTCTGTGATATGTTGTAGTTAATATAGATACAAAAAATGTATAGGAATGAAACAGACATCTTGTGATTTGATTGTTGTAAAATTTTTAGTCCTTGTTTACACTTCTATGTAACTGTGGTCTTTACACTTCTTACTTGTTGTACATTATGATTAGTACTGCATTAAGTCTGTGATTATAGGGTGGTCTGAAATTATATATTTGCAAAAATTAAATAAGAAAAAGGAAGGAAGGAGGGGGATTGAGGGAAGGAGAGGTTGAGGGAGGGACTTATGGTTATCTTGTCAACAGGATTGAATACAAAAAAAACATTACAAAAAACCAGCCAAAGGAGGAGCTGGTTTTGTGAAAAAATAAACAAAATTGACATGCCATTGGCCCAACTAACTAAAAAAAGAAAAGACCCAAATTAATAAAATCAGAGATGAAAAAGGAAATGTAACAATAGACACCACAGAAATAAAAAGAATCATCAGAAATTACTACAAGGACTTGTATGCCAGCAAACAGGGAAACCTATCAGAAATGGATAGATTCCTGGACACATGCAACCTACCTAAATTGAACCAGGAAGACATAGAAAACCTAAACAGACCCATAACTGAGACAGAAATTGAAACAGTAATAAAGGCCCTCCCAACAAAGAAAAGCCCAGGACCAGATGGATTCACTGCTGAATTCTACCAGACATTTAAAGAAGAACTGACTCCAATTCTTCTCAAACTATTCAGAACAACATCCTATTGAATGGGGAAAAGTTGGAAGCATTTCCACTGAGATCTGGTACCAGACAGGGATGCCCACTCTTACCACTGCTATTCAATATAGTTCTCGAAGTTTTAGCCAGAGCTATTAGGCAAGAAAAAGAAATTAAAGGGATAAAAATTGGGAAGGAAGAACCCAAACTATCCCTCTTTGCACATGATATGATTCTTTATTTAGGGGATCCAAAGAACTCTACTAAGAGACTATTGGAACTCATAGAAGAGTTTGGAAAAGTAGCAGGATATAAAATCAATGCACAAAAATCAACAGCCTTTGTATACACAGGCAAAGCCATGGCTGAGGAAGAACTTCTAAGATCAATCCCATTCACAATAGCTACAAAAACAATCACATACCTTGGAATAAGCTTAACCAAGGACGTTAAAGATCTCCACGATGAAAATTACAAAACCTTAAAGAAAGAAATAGAAGAGGATACCAAGAAATGGAAAAATCTTCCATGCTCATGTATTGGAAGAATCAATATCATCAAAATGTCCATTCTCCCAAAAGCAATTTATACATTCAATGCAATACCAATCAAGATACCGAAGACCTTCTTCTCAGATCTGGAAAAATGATGCTGAATTTCATATGGAGACACAGGAGACCTCGAATAGCCAATGCAATCTTGTACAACAAAAACAAAGCCGGAGGCATCACAATACCAGATTTCAGGAAATACTACAGGGCAGTTGTTATCAAAACAGCATGGTACTGGTACATAATCAGATGGATAGACTTATGGAACAGAATTGAAACACCAGAAATCAATCCAAACATCTACAGCCAACTTATATTTGATCAAGGATCCAAAACCAATCCCTGGAGTAAGGACAGTCTATTCAATAAATGGTGCTGGGAAAATTGGATTTCCACGTGCAGAATCATGAAGCAAGACCCCTACCTTTCACCTTACACAAAAATTCACTCAACATGGATTAAAGACTTAAATCTATGACCGACACCATCAAATTATTAGATAGCATTGGAAAAACCCTGCAAGATATAGGTACCGGCAATGACTTCCTAGAAAAGACCCCAGAAGCACAGACAGTCAAAGCCAAAATTAACATTTGGGATTGCATCAAATTGAGAAGTTTCTGTTCTTCAAAAGAAACAGTCAGGGAAGTGAAGAGGCAACCAACAGAATGGGAAAATATATTTGCAAATTATGCAACTGATAAAGGGTTGATAACCAGAATCTACAAAGAAATCAAGAAACTCCACAAGATCAAAACAAACAACCCACTTAAGAGATGGGCCAAGGACCTCAAGAGTGTCAATTTGTTAAGTCAACAACAGGAGTCACTGTGCACTTACTCCTCATGTAGGATCTTTGTCCTTAGTGTGCTGTACATTGAGATTTAATGCTATAACTAGTACTCAAACAGTATTTTTCACTTTATGTTTCTGTGTGGGAGCAAACTGTTGAAATCTTTACTTAATGTATGCTAAACTGATCTTCTGTATATAAAGAGAATCAAAAATGAATCTTAATGTGAATAGAAGGGGAGAGGGAGTAGGAGAGGGGAGGGTTGCGGGTGGGAGGGACGTTATGGGGGGGAAGCCATTGTAGTCCATAAGCTGTACTTTGGAAATTTATATTCATTAAATAAAAGTTAAAAATTAAAAAAAAATTGTACCTGTGAAATAATAAAATCGGTTCTCTTTATATTAATAAAAAATTTTTAAGAAACCAAAACTTCTTATCAGATGATTATATATATTTCTATAAAATAACCACCCATTTCCGCAATCAATATTTTGCTTGAATAGGTTAATAATAACTATTATAATATGAAAATATTATTTACAGTTAAAGCATGATTAGGAAATGTAATCCTTGGTCACACTTACCTGAAATTTAATTGCATCATAGCTTGCTAAAAATAATTTAAAAGACTAAGATCAGTTATTATGGGTGACAAAGTGTAAATTTGACCTAGTTTGGCTGAATTTGTACTTCATTGTTCTTTCTATTCTAAATTCATAAATTCAAGTCCTATTTGAATAATTACATAATTCTCTTTCTTCCCTCAAAGGAGAGCTCTAATAATCCAATTTCCCATACTCTACCTACATCTGCATTTTTCCTCTAAAACTGATTTTTATAATTTGTACACTCTAGGCAAGAGGAAAGGAAACCTTACTAAGATATTCCTTTACTCATAACTCATGAAAGGGAAATTTGAAAACATCCATCTGAAATATAAATATTCTGTTTGTTCCTCCATAGTAGAAAGAGAAATATGACTTGAACAAGCAATAAACACATGCTCTGCCCCAGAAAATCCAGTTCCTAAAGATATATACTTATGTAAAGCTTGAATCACTATTGCTAATTTCCTCTGATACAAACCAATATTCAAATTGGAGCTTGGCAAATGTGTGTTCACGATGTCAATTATACTTTTTGGCAAATTTATAAAAGCATATTAAAGACTCTAAAAATGTTTTACCTAAATGTCTTGGAAGGGTAAAGAATAAACAGTACTGAACTATGTTTTTCCATCCCAAGGTTTTCAGGGTGTGGGATATACAGACTCTCTCACTACTTCAAATCTTCCATGATACCCAGGGAGGACCAGGAGACATGCAGATTTATTCTATGATATATGATGCCAATCATGGCATGCTCATAACAGGTAAGCGTACCCAAATAATGGCAAATGAAACTCATATCTTGATTTTAACCTCCTTTAAACTAGCATTTGAGCACTAACTAGGAAAAAAAAAACAGAAAGAGAAATTGCAAACCATAACTAACCAAAGTGGATTTTTATTTCAATTCTATTCTTCCCCATCTTTCTATGGCCAAGTAGAGGACATGTATAACTGCATATATCTAAAAATACCAAGTCCGTGCTGTAAGTTCTTGAACCTAGGGACGCATGACCTGAACTTAAGCATAAAAAGATGATGTAATCTGTTGCTAAATATAGTGCAAATCCAGCTCCCATGCTCAGCTGTTGAGGTTCTCAGAACAGGAATGTGATCCTATCTTCGAGCAGCTGCAACAGCACACATCGGCATGATCCCCTTTCTACAGAAAAGCAATATGGCCCCATGCATTCTGGAAGTGAGTCAGTAGCTCAGATCAAGGACTGTACTGACCCTTCCACTTGCCTTTGCCTCTCAGCAAAGACCAGAGGGAGGACAGAGTCTAGGATGACAGAACTAGACAGATACTAATACAGAGACAAGGGCCCTGCTAAGCACTTAGTTTGAACACCATTCATAAGTGTACCCTTAAACTTTAGAAGAAAAACAAATGATACTACCAGTAGTTTGTCCTTCTGGAATAGTAAGCCAGAATATATGTCCTAAGCATTTTCTACTGACCACTTGCCCTGAGTTCCAATAGGATTACCAAAACAGGGAAGTGGTTGGTGTTGCCTGCTAATGAAGAATAGAATTAATTTTTAACTCTCCCACCTCTGGATTAGGAGTGAACTAGGACTTCATGCTCAATAAATAACTTCTGATCTAAAACAAAACTGTTCTAGTTGTAAGCACCCTTCCTCTATTTCAACACCTCGAAAAAAGTACATATGAATGAGTATGAATAAGTTTTCTCTCTTAGTTCCCCAGCTTGCGTGTTTTATTACTGGGTTCAGTACTTCATGCCATTTGCCATCAGAGCAACTAAGGACCCAAATAGCAAGGCAAAAAAGGAAGGAGATGAGGAAGAAGAAAAAAAACCAGAAAAACCAAGACTTCCCAACTTTATATAATTCTGATTAGTACTTCTGCTTGCAAAAATATAGAGCTCTATGCATCGCTTAATCACTGAAATTACATATATTGACTACAACCATCAACTTACCATCAGAATTACAGGAAGCATATTTCATACTTTAATTTAGGCTTTGATTCCAATGCAGCAGTCAGAATGCTCTTTTAAACCCAATGAACAGGCACAGTGCCTGGAAATGCCATGTAGAGTATGTTTTTGTGAGTGTCACAGTTGTTATCATTATTGCTCTATGACAACTACTATCTGTATAGCTCTTTTTCAAAAGCATTCATAACATTTTTCATTTGACCTACACAACCATCATGTGAGATAGGAATTATTATATTCATATTTTATAAGTGATAGTACTGAATCTCAAACAGTTCATCTGGTAAAAGGACACGAGGTAGAATCATAGAGCAGGAGTTTGATCTCAGAGCCTTCTGATTCCTGAATTCCTGTGCCTTCTCAGGACTGTAATGTGCCCATAGTATTAATATAACAAATCCCCTAAAAGTAGAAGCATATCTAGATTGTCCACAGCATCTGCGGCATTGTTGAAGTCTACTGAGTAAAGTTAAGTTACTCTCAGTGTAATGATAAAGGATCTACCAAGAAGCTCCAAGTGGGATTTGATTATCTGGTAACCAGATGCCTCTCACATTTGCATACCAAGGTGTTTGAACTGAGATACATTACCAGATGAGCCATCTCAATCCTTCTTCACACATGAACAGATCTTATCCCAAAACACCTCAGTAACTTTGGCTGAAACTTCTCCTAGAGTTAAAATTTCTTTGGAGAGACTTGAGAAACTCAGTGCAAAATCTGCCTTTGGTAACTCAGTCTCCATATTCATAAAATGGGGAAAATTTCATATTTGAGCTAAAGAATGTTTTGAGATCCTTATTTCTATTTCCAGACATTACACAAAAACAGAAACAGAACACACAGTTAATTGATTTTCCCAGCTAAATCAGACTTTCACTCAATAATATTATATCACAAAACCAAGTCAAACAACCTTAGCACAGTGCAAGCCAAGAATACCTGCTCTCCATCTAATGGTTACACTAACTACATTTATCACCATGGTGACTTGGAAATTAATCTTATTTATTATTGATGTTGCAAACACTAGCTTGCAAACATTCTCATTCATTATACTTATTAAGATCATTTTCATAGAGTGCTTTATCTTTTGTTGTTTGAAAAGGGGCTCTCTAACAATAAATTTAAATCATGAAATGGGAGCTTACCTTCAGCAGAAATCTGATCATCACAATTCTTGCTGTGCACCAATGGAGAGGTATGAAGTAAGCACAATAAAGAAGAGGGAAACTGGATTATAAAAAATAGGAAATTGAGGGTCACTAAAATGAGGATGTCAATGAAGTCCCAAATAGCCTTGTATTTAAAAAGTATGAAGCACCAAATGAATGATTTTCTCTGGCCAAATGACAATTGCTTTATTAGTCAAAAATGGTTTAGAGTAAATGAACATACTTTCACCTCATTAAGTTTCCTAGGTAATGACATTACTAAACTAACTGATACGCTGTTTCCAAACACAATTGCTTGAGAAAAACGCTTTGGGATTCGAAATTTCAAGTGCTGAGTGTTTATGGGATTACTGCTTCTATTCCAGGGTCTAGTGTTATGGACATGTACCCTTTGTCAAGGATGATACAAGATACAGAACATGTTCCTCACACACATAAACAAGAAATCAATGTCATGCTTTACAACAAATCTTTTCACCAAGTACTCACTATTTGCTCTGAATCCATAATTAAGGTGGGTACTTATTGAATCTTCAGAAAGAAAAAGGCAGAGCAAATAGAATTTTCTCTTCTTCCAGGTAAATTATTGAGTGATGAGGTAAGTATAGTGGCACATGTAAGATTTTTTTGCAAGGTTTAATTTTTATAGAAAGCTTTTATTTAATAAATATAAACTTCATAAGTACAATTTTTGGATTTTAGCAGTTCTTCTCCCCATACCCACTCTCTCACCCCTAAAACATCCCACCTCCTACTCCCTCTCCCTTTCCATTCTTCATCAAGATTCATTTTTAATTATCTTTATATACAGAAGATAAACTCTATGCTAAGTAAAGATTTCAACAGTTTTTACCCACACAGACACACAAAGTATAAAGTACTGTTTGAAGACTAGTTATACCGTTAATTCTCATAGTACAACACATTAAGGACAGAGGTCCTACATGGGGAGCAAGTGCACCATGACTCCTGTTGTTGATTTAACAATTGACACTCATATTTGTGACATCAGTAATCCCCCGAGGCTCTTGTCATGAGCTGCCAAGGCTGTGGAAGCCTCTTGAGTCCACAAACTCTGACATTATTTAGACAAGACCATAATCAAAGTGGAGGTTCTCTCCTCCCTTCAGAGAAAGGTACCTCCTTCTTTGATGGCCCCTTCTTTCCACTGGTATCTCACTCACAGAGATCTTTCATGTAGCTAATTTTTTGCCACAGTGTCTTGGCTTTCCATGCCTGAAATGTTCTCATGGGCTTTTTAGCCAGATCTGAATACCTTAAGGGCTAGTTCTAATGCCAGAGTGCTGTTTAGGACATCTGACATTCTATGTATCTGCTGTATGGCCTGAGTCACATGCTGGATCATTCTCCCTTTTTAAATTCTATCTATTATTATTATCAGACACTAGTCTTATTTATGTGACCCCTTTGACACTTAATCCTATCTTTATGATCAGTTATGAACTTAAATTGATCACTTTAATTAGTAAGATGGCATGATATTTGCCAACTTAATGGGATTTGGAGTCCCATGTTAAGTTTTTAGCTTTATCCTTAGGGATAAGTCCGAGGGAATGTGTGCTGAACGTACATCTCCTTCCTCTCTTATTCCCACTCTTATTTTTAACAGGGCTCAATTTTCAATTGGATGTAAACACCTAAGATAATTCTGTGTTAAGTAAAGAGTTCAACCAATGGTATTAAGTAGAAAAAGAAAATACAGAAAAGAATAAAATAGTAAGCTGTTCCTCAACAGTCAGGATAGAGGGTGATCCAATCATTGCTTCTCATAGTGTCAGTTTCATTTCTACAGGTTTCCTTGTTGTAAATGACCGGATTTCTATTTTTTTTTTTACTACTTTGTTGTATTCCATAAAGTACATATCCCATTTCTTCATACAGTCTTCCATTGATGGGCAAAATGGCACTCACTCTATTGGCTTGTATGCCTTTGTGAGGTGATCAGAGAGAGAGAAATGTGTCTATACCATCCTTTTTTTTTTCCTCCTCTATTTAGGCTGATGCACTTTTGCCCACAGGGCTTCTAGCCTCATTCCCTCTAATCTCTTCCTGCCGCTTTTTCACCAGTAGCCTGGGATACTGTGGTCTCTTCTCACTTCACTTTCCAGCACCGGTATGGGGGCTTTCAGCTGTTAGAGTCCCGAGCCGTGGGCACCCACATCTTCCACGTAGGTCCACCATGTCCCTCTAATTTTGGTAGAGTTTCCTCTGCTGTTTTTTTCCCTAACTCCTTCCTGAGACTACACGATCTTCACTCTTCTTAAACCATCTTCTCCTGGGCTAGAGCAGTAAGCTCCCTCCCTATTCCACCATCTTGGAACTGCCCCATGGCACACATAAGATTATACATTAGAGCTGTCTTTACACTTTCATGAATACATGAACAACAAACATTTGAAAGCCAGTTCAGACTACTTGCTTCCAAGCCACATATTCAACTGAATAAATAAAGCCCGCAATTACTGTCAAAACAGAAATTTTAAAGAAAAATACATCAAGGAAAGAGAATTATTCTGTATTTTGATTGTTTTGGGGCTGGACTTACAGTTAATTAACAATAAAAATATTTTTTATTAAATTTACATGAAAAACAGTTTGAAGAAATGACCAAAGTACTGTACTTTTATTATTTTTGGACAATGTAATGACAAAACATATGGATAGCTAGACCACAGAAGTGAATTCTGGTTATTTTACCCAAGAAATATATAGGGGACTGAGGAGGAACTAATGGAAAATAAGGTTCACTTCAGAGAGCTTGCTTATTCAGCTTCATTGCAATCTCAATTACCAGTCTGCGGAGATTTTCTAGCCTGGGAGTGTGAATGATTTCACTCCTAAAAGGATCTCAGTGGCTTGCTGTATGTAGTACATAAGAGTCCAAGTGGCCCTTTCTGAGGTTACAGTTCCTCATGTCATTTCAGCCTGATCTACTTAATAATCCATAGACCAATCTGACATATTTTGAGATGGCACATGAACCCAGATGAACCCCAGTGTGTCTCGCCAGGAACACTTACACACTTCTGCTGCTTTCCTGAAGCCTGTTACCACTCTGTCCTCTAGGGAACAGGCTGTGTGGTCAAACTAACAGCATCTGTCATTACACCCACAGGGGTCACCTGGCAGTCATGCTAGAGGTGTTTGCTTCAGGTGTTTATTCTTTTATTTCACATCTGCTCTCCAAAGGAGACATATGGACACAAAAGTGAGCTTTCCTCTGGAGACTTTCCAACCACCTCTCATTGTTTTGGACTTTTGTACTCATCTCAGGCTAAAATCTCCCGAGTTTGGTGCATTATCATTTATTTCTGGTAATGCCTTAAGGGAGAATAAGTAGAGGGAAACTAAAAGAACTACCTGGTCTGCTTCCTCACTATACTGACTCTTAAGGGGCAAATGACTTTGCTGGGTGGGATAGAAGAGTAGAAATAATCCAGGTAAGTTTTCATAGTTGACTGGTTGGACAGGGATTATACTATGATGCTGGAGATGGGTGACTCTGAGATCCATACATACAATGACTCACACTCTTTTTTCCTTTTAGCACCCTCTCTATACCTAGGGACACACAAAGAATATAAATATGGGCCCTAGGGCCATACTGATGCCATTCAAGTCCTCATTCTACCGATCCCAGTCAGTGGTTCTTCACTGTCTGAACTCTAGACTGTTTCCTTAGATGCTTCCCTAACAATCCCCACTCCCTGCAATGGCAATAGCATCCTTCCAGTTCCCTGGAGAAAAAAACTACATCTTCTCATCTCCAGCGTTTTGCACGTGCTGCCTTCACCCCTCCAAATACCTCAAGTCCAGCCATTCTGTGGCCAATCCAGCTCTATTACTCTCTGGTGGTCAAATTTACATCTAAACTTGGCAGATCTGTGACGACAGATTCTGATGGAAAGTCTGCAAGTCTCAAGTCTCTTCTATGTTTCCAAAGAGAGAGAATGATGAATGCTGAGATGCTTCTGGATTTTCTAATTACATCCAGCCTAACTACACAGATGGCTTCCTGTAAAATCACAACACCATCCCCACCTCTCTCTCTCCATCTCTTTCTCTCTCTCTCTCTCTCTCACTCTTTCTTTCACTAGGCCCATGTTCACAGTTAAAATACTCTTTGAAAAAGTCAATGAATTATTTCCTCAGGGTTGTCTCACATTCCAAGATATTAACCATGGCATCTGTCCCAAACCCCTTAGCAAATTTGGGATAGCATCAACAGGGAATAAATCTAGTTTGATTTCCTGTTTGTGTACTTTTCAAAGTTACATTTCTATCTTGCTGTTAACATCGCTTCATCTTTACAACTGATGACTCCAAAGACAGGCAATGTCCAGAATACACTGAATCACTACCTGATTCACCCAACTATTGGCAACAGAGGAGGAGACCACAGTGACTGTTAGCACTGCATCTTTCAGAGTTTTTCTTGATCAAATCAACATTCAGGGTCAAGTTCTAGGAAAGGTGTCATGTGTACAGCACCAGTTTTGAAGTTATTTTGAATATTGCAAATGTTAAGAATCTAAGGGCACAGTGGATTACTTTTTAGTAGCTGGTGTTCTCTTTTTCAGGTATGGGAACTCGAGACTGGTTTCCAAATATACCAGATTTCAGATGCTCATGGCTACGGTGTTGAAGTGACATCAGGAGATATTGATGAAAGTGGATTTTGTTTTGCCACAGGAGCATATAATGGTCAGAGTTAGATCCAGAATTTAGCCTATCTGCTGCGGCATCCTGCAAAGTTGTGCTAGTAACTCATTAGTTTCCTTTGGTTATAGGGAGAGTATGAATCAAGCTGGACTATGTAAGCATGCCAGTGAATAGTAACAGATTGACTTACCTAATGGGAATTAATATCTTGATATTGATGCTAAAAATAATCAGTGCCTTACAATGTGTTTATATAGTTGCTTAAGTAGTTTGCAAAAGTCACATAAACCATCTAATTTAATCTTTGACAGGACTGAAACTATGTTGCTCTGGCTTAATCAATGGTATTTTAGGGTACCATTGGCTAGAGATACACATTTGATTTGGTAGTTACTAATTATATTTTCAATTACAGTAGATTTGGGGACAGGGCATAATTAGCCAACTTTGTAATACAATACCTAGAATTCTATATTTGGCTTATGTGTCTAGCTCCTTGTGAGCATGTGCCATGCCAAAGGTGGGAGGATGTCAGACTCAGAATGTGTTATTTCATCTCATGTTCCTCATGATGTGGAGTATTGCATAGAACTTTCAGGAACTAGAGAGCCCCAGACTGCCCCATCTTTCACTTCAACTTGTTCTGAAGCCTGTGAAAGAACTGCTGTAGCTATACAATCTGACCAATTGAATACACTATCCAGAATATATTTTTAAAAATTTTTTTTATTTGACAGAGTTAGTGAGAGAGAAAGAGAGAAAGGTCTTCCTTCTGTTGGTTCACCCACCAAATGGCCGCTACAGCTGGAGTTGCGCCTATCTGAAGCCAGGAGCCAGGTGCTTCCTCCTGGTCTCCCATGCGGGTACAGGGGCCCAAGTACTTGGGCCATCCTCCACTGGCTTTCCGGGCCACAGCAGAGAGCTGGATGAAAGAGGAGCAACTGGGACTAGAACCCGGTGCCCATATGAGATGCCGGTGCCACAGGCGGAGGATTAACCAAATGAGCCATGGCGCTGGCCCCCAGAATATATTAATCTAGGGATAATTTTCTAAATAAGCAACTGCTCATAAGCCAACTGATGGAATGAGTGAGCACACTGATGTGAAAGTCTGATTTAAAAATATGAATTAGAACAGGTCTTTTGCCTAGCAGTTAAGATATCTGTATCCCATGTTGGAGTGTTTGGGTTGATTCCCAGCTCTGGCTCTTGATTCCAGCTTCTTGCTGGGAGGCAGCAGTGATGGCTCAAGTAACTGAGTTCCTGTCACTTAATGGTAGTCCTGGATTGTGTTCCCAGCTTCTGTCTCTCCCCAGCTCAGTCCCAGCTGTTGGAATCATATGTAGAGTGAACCAGCCATTAATATCTCTCTCTCAATTTAATTAATATTTAAAAAAATGTTAGCAGAGGACAACACAATATGAAATAAATAATAAATAAATAAAAAACAAAAGGGTATGAATGCAACTTCTCTTCATATGGAGCAATTCATAAGAAAGCACTCTTTTCCATAAGTACACTTTGCACTTATATGACAATAAGTTACAACAGAAACCCTAAGCAACAATACATTATCATCATCAGGTATGAACATTAAGCAATTCAATATATGACTGGCAATATTACTATTTTCATGCAAAGAAGTCATATTTTACTTTTTTAGTCCTATGACTTAGTATTCTTTCCGTGACAATTGGTCCTCTTTCAGAGGTACATTTGTTAAATTGACAAAGATCCTGGGTCCAGGACATCTAGAAACTAGGATTCTGTATCCCCCAGAGCAGCTCTACCCACAAGCCACCAGTGCCCTCACCCCCCACCTATAAATAGCTGAGCTGTACCTCTCCCTGCTCTCTGCCTCACTGATTGCTGAGGACCCAGTATGACAGGAACTCTGGGCCATGGCAGTGATTTGTCTAACCCAAGAGTGAATGAGGACATGGGACCTTCTTTTAATCATTCGCATGACTATTTTCTTAAAGACTATGAAGTGTTAAAGGGCAGGAACTGTGAATACCCACTTTAATCCTGTGCTTTTATCACCATATTGCGTATACAGGGAATATTTAAGCGATGCTTAATTATGTTGTGAGGGAACATGATTGGGATTATATATTAATGATGGGGAAAACCTGGCACATGGGAAGGAAAACAGCACAGTGAAAACACTCTGGATGTACAGCAGGATTAGAGCTAAGGGATAGCAAGTAGTGGGTAGGGAAAGGTGTGGAGGTTAAAGGGGAAAAGTGCTAAACCTGAGATGGCTACTATAAAAATCCCATGTGATAATTTCTACACTGAGTAATGAACTCAAAATAGCTATTCAGCAATCATTCTGATTATCATTCCTTCTAGCCCCTTCATCCAGCCCCTCCCCCACAACATGAACAAAGGTAATGATAATGAAAAGCATCTCAGTGCATTTGGGCTGTTATAATAGAACATCATAAGACAATATGGTTTTTGGGCCACAGAAACATACTTCTCAAGGTTCTGGAGGCTGGGAAGTCCAAGCGGAAAGCATCAGTAAATCTGGTATCTGTAGAGGACCTGCTTCTTGGTTTATAGACAGCACCTTTTCATTGTGTTCTCACGTGGCAGAAGGGGCAAGGGAGCTCTCTGGTACCATTTTAATAAAGGCACTAATCCCACTCATGAGGGATTAGGCATGAGTTAGTCACCTCCAAAGATTACATTGGAGATGAGATGTCAATAGAAAGTACAATTTCAAAGGTAAGAAAGAAACTACATTCATTTTTCATTCTTCTCTCATGTAACCAACAAAACAACTCCAAGCCTGATAGTTTCCTACCTGTTGCAATTTCCTCAAGCCTTCTATTATTCAATAAGAGCTAGGTCACCTTGAGAAATGTGACAGTATACTAGCATGATCTTTGACTGTTAATAAGAACTATATTGAACGAGCTGACATTCCCATATTGGTGGTGTTCAGTCAACTGGAAAGCGCTGGGGAATGGACAGAAGAGGAACATAAAGGGAAGCTCAGACAGGAGAATCAGGGACTTAAAGAAACTTGTCACAGATTTCTAAACACTGCTGGCCCTGATCATTTTTACCAAGGTTTACAGAAACATACTGCATGTACAGCAAGCCTGAGGAAACTCATGTGTCCGTCTTAGTAAGAAATATAGGATAAATTGTTGGTAGAAAGCTTCCAGTGGGACCAATTTTCTCTGAGTGAAAAGCCAAGCATTCGTAAATCATTTTACCCACATAGCCTTTTCTCTGTGCACCAGGAACAGTGAAAATCTGGGACTTTGGCAGTGGGCAAGAGATGAAAGTGTTGCCTAAAGGGAAAGAATGGAAGGAGGAAGAGCACTGGGTGAAACGTCTGATTTTCCTCAAAGCTCAAGAAAAACAGCAGAACTTGATCCTTGCTTTGGAGCGCAACGGAGCTATCAAAATCATGCAGGTAGGTTTACAGTCCTATTTTGTTATTTGTACTGTTGGTGCTCTTCTTGGGAAAGCCGAATGAGTCAGTGGATAATCCGCATTTAAGTCCTCTCTTGCCAGCCAGCTGAACACAGTATTAGTCTATCAACCTTCAAGTGAGGTTTCTCATTAACTTTGTCCAGGCCCATGCAATGAACAGTTACCTGGGCACAGCATCCCGTCCATCAAGCTTCAACGATTAGTCAGGACTCCAAAGTGGGTATCAGAAAGGTTCACTTACAAACACCTGCCACTCTGACATTGCTCATCTGCTCATTTGGGAATAATTCATGGCTTCCCCAGAATGGCTGCTTGTTAGTAGGCTCTGTCCCTTTTAAACCATAATGTGTTCTGAGATGAGCATGTCTCTTTTTCAGTTTGTCATCAAAATTGTTTTATTTATTGTAAGGTTAATGATGCAATCTGCTCAAGGCTATTTTGGGAGGAATGAGATAGGCTAATTTATTTTTCCAGAAGATTTCTGACTACCTAGGAATGTTAATGCCTTCCTCAAATTTAAAAAGACTAGATCATTTATCTGGCTGAGTGGATCTTATCCTGTCACCTCAAACTCAACGACTCATTGCCTTCATTATTCCCCATTCTGAAAGCTAAGATCTGAAAACAAATCTTTAATAGGAGAGCAATCATGGCATACTAGCATTGAGTAAGATGACTGATGACCTTACAGATAGAATAAAGGAATGAAAAGCTTCCCTGGTTCAATACATTCTGCCTTTGATGTCTGCGCAATCCAAAACAACACTACAGAAAGGAATTTCCTAGTAATACTCTGACACACAACAATATGTTGATTTTAAGTTAGTACAACCAGATACCCTTCCTAACAGACAATGTCTGCTGTTACACACTCCTTTTAACTCTTAAAAATTCTGACTCTTTTTTAAAAAGCTATAAAAGCAGCATGTAATTGTCCTACGTCAAAATTGTTTTTCATTTTACTGGGGCATTTTTCTCTTTGATAATTCTGATTCCCTATTCAGAATCTGTAGTTTGAGCTTGATAACAATCAACAACCTCTCCTATTCATAAATACAGGTTAATATATATCCATTTGCTCCAAGTCCAAATCTATCCAGTTGCACCAAAACAATTTATTGAAAAGTCTGTTCTTGTCCCACAAACTTGTTCTGGCACTTTCATCTATGGACTCAGTTTTGTTCCATTAGTCTACTCACTTTTCCCTAAGCCCAGATTTCATTGAGTGCTGGGTTATTTTGACTGTGGCCTGAGATGAGGGTACATTCCTCTTAACTGGATGTGTTTGTTTCTGCCAGATGCCTCATGGAACTACATTTGCCTGTTGCATTTATTTGTACACAAACTTTCATGACTAACACTGTATTTCAGTTACTAGGTACTCTGAAGAGGGAAGAAGAGGAATCATATTATTGAGGGATAGATAGAGCTTAAGATATGAGAAAGTTAGATGATGGGTATATTGATATGTTCTGTTTTTCTCTATCTTTTAAAAACAGCTCAAAATAAAATAATTTAACTGTGCATGTACTCACTGGATTTCTATTAAAGGGCAAGGAAAATGATATTTTCCTCACTGTGATATGGGAGCTGCCTGATGCCATGCCTTATTTCCAGAATGGGATTCACGTGGTGCATCTGGAGATGTCTACTAGAGACAGGAACATGGCTATTCCTTTCCCAGATGTCAAATTAATAGTTGAGAAAAAGTTTCCTCATCACACTACTGTAAGTTTCATTTCTTTATTTTAAATGTTCACTTTTTGTTATGGAAAATTAAAATTAATAAGTATAGAAAATAATATAATGAATTTTTCTATGTACTGTTTTTCAGACTCAGGACTACTCTGTGCAAGGTCAAACATTGTTTAATCCCATTTCCTCCCCATGACTAACATCAGTGAATTTTGAAGTAAATCCTAGACATTATGTCATTTTATCTATAAATATTTTCAGTATATCTCTCTAAATAATAATGAATCTCAGGGCTGACGTTGTGGTGTAGCAGGTTAAAGGTACTGCCTGTGATACCGGCATTCCATATGGGTGCTGGTACGGTGTTCCAACTGCTGTACTTCCCATCCAGCTCCCTGCTAATGGCCTGGAAACAGCAGCAGAAGATAACCCAAGTGTCTGGGCCCCTGCCACTCATGTGGAAGACACAGATGAAGCTCCTGGTTCCTAGCTTTGGCCTGATCCAGTGTTGGCCATTTCAGCCATTTGGGAAGCGAATCAGCAGATGGAAAATCTGCCACTCTTTCAAATAAATAAATAAACCTATTAAAATGAATATGAAAAATTATAATTTCATTATTTCTGAACTATTTCAAAAATAATTTACAAGTTTTAATATAGAGATCTTCCAAAAGTTCATGAATATTTATATTAAGAAAAATCTATGATTTCAAAACTTTTATGCAGCAAAATAAATTTATCTTTTAATTCCATTTTCCATTAACTTTTTGAAGTATCCTGAAGTATGGGCTCATTATGTCATTTTTATTTTTAAAAATTTTTATTGATTGATTGATTTGAAAGGTAAAGAGCCAAAAATAGAGACACAGATCCCCATCTGCCTGCAAAATTGACTCCCCAAATGCCTGTAACAGCTAAGGCTGGGTTAGGCTGATTTTGGGAGCTGGGACTTTATGTCTCCCACATACGTGTCAGGAACCCAAGTAATTGAGCCATCTCCTGCTGCTCCCAAGGGACACATGAGTAGGAAGCTGGAAGTAGAACTGGGATCAAAACTAGGCACTCTGGTATGGGATGCAGGCGTACCAAAATGTCTCAACTGCAGTGCCAAACACCTGCCTTCATGTTAGGTTATCGTACCGTACATTATATTCTAGTATCAGAAAGACAACAAAATTACTAAAAATATTAAAGCTGAAACAGCTGAATATGTTGCTTGCTCTGCAGTTCTCTTTGTCCTTAGCATATAGGAGTGTACTGTCAAACTACTGTGCTTTAAAATTACTTGAAATAGTTCCTTGAGGGCTGGCGCCGTGGCTCAATAGGCTAATCCTCCGCCTACCGGCGCCAGCACACCGGGTTTTAGTCCCGGTCGAGGCGCCGGATTCTGTCCCGGTTGCCCCTCTTCCAGGCCAGCTCTCTGCTATGGCCAGGGAGTGCAGTGGAGGATGGCCCAAGTGTTTGGGCCCTGCACCCCATGGGAGACCAGGATAAGCACCTGGCTCCTGCCTTCGGATCAGCGTGGTGCGCCGCAGCGCACTGGCCGCGGCGGCCATTGGAGGGTGAACCAACGGCTAAGGAAGACCTTTCTCTCTGTCTCTTTCTCTCTCTCTGTCCACTCTGCCTGTAAAAAACAAAAACAAAACAAACAAACAAAAAAAGAAATAGTTCCTTGTGCCATCAACTGTACACAGGTTAACTTGCTTAATTTATATTTGTTGCTTTTTAAATTTGAATTTTGTCATTACATTGTATATATATTTAATAGCTTTAAAAGCAAATCTAGGCCAGCGCCGCAGCTCACTAGGCTAATCCTCTGCCTTGCGGCACCGGCACACGGGGTTCTAGTCCCGGTCGGGGCGCTGGATTCTGTCCTGGTTGCCCCTCTTCCAGGTCAGCTCTCTGCTGCCTGGGAGTGCAGTGGAGGATGGCCCAAGTACTTGGGCCCTGCACCCCATGGGAGACCAGGAGAAGCACCTGGCTCCTGCCATCAGATCAGCGTGGTGCACCGGCGGCAGCATGCCGGCCGCGGCAGCCATTGGAGGGTGAACCAATGGCAAAAGGAAGACTTTTCTCTCTGTCTCTCTCTCTCACTGTCCACTCTGCCTGTCAAAAAAAAAAAATCTACAAAAGAAGCCCCACTCTGAGATATCAAACCAAGGAGTAGTTTAGCTTCTTTTTTTTTTATCTTTTATTTAATGAATATAAATTTCCAAAGTACGACTCATGGGTTACAATGGCTTTCCCCCCCATACTGTCCCTCCCACCCACAACCCTCCCCTTTCCCACTCCCTCTCCCCTTCCATTCACATCAAGATTCATTTTCGATTATCTTAATATACAGAAGATCAGCTTAGTATACCTTAAGTAAGGATTTCAACAGTTTGTTCCCACACAGAAACATAAAGTGAAAAATAATAGATGATTTTTTTTAAATGATGATGAAATCAGATCAGACCTATTGTCATGTTTAATCCCAGTGAGAGTCAAGTGGGAACTGATAATTTCTTTTTTTATTTTTTTTTTTTTTACAGAAGATCAGTTTAGTGTACATTAAGTAAAGATTTCAATCGTTGCACCCCCATAGAAACACAAAGTGAAATATACTGTTTGAGTACTCGTTATAGCATTAAGCCTCAGTGTACAGCACATTAAGGACAGAGATCCTACATGAGGAGTAAGTGCACAGTGACTCCTGTTGTTGACTTTACAAATTGACACTCCTGTTTATGGCATCAGTAATCTCCCTATGCACCAGTCATGAGTTTCCAAGGCTATGGAAGCCCCTTGAGTTCTCCGACTCTTATCTTGTTTAGACAAGGTCATAGTCAAAGTGGAGGTTCTCTCCTCCCTTCAGAGAAAGGCACCTCCCTCTTTGAAGACCTGTTCTTTCCACTGGGATCTCACTCACAGAGATCTTTTTGCCAGAGTGTCTTGGCTTTCCATGCCTGAGATACTCTCATGGGCTTTTCAGCCAGATCCGAGTGCCTTTAGGGCTGATTCTGAGGCCAGAGTGCTATTTAGGACATCCGCCATTCTATGAGTCTGCTGAGTATCTCACTTCCCATGTTGGATCACTCTCCCCTTTATTTATTCTATCGGTTGGTGTTAGCAGATACTAGACTTGTTTATGTGCTCCCTTTGACTCTTAGTCCTTTCATTATGATCAATTGTGAACTGAAATTGATCACTTGCAGTAGTGAGATGGCATTGGCACATGCCACCTTGATGGGATTGAATTGGAATCCCCTGGTATGTTTCCAACTCTACCAATTGGGGCAAGTCAGCCCGAGCATGCCCCAAATTATACATCTCTTCCCTCTCTTATTCCCACTTTTATGTTTAACAGGGATCACATTTCAGTTAATTTTCAACACTTAAGAATAACTGTGTGATAATTACAGAATTAAACCAGTCATATTAAGTAGAACAGACAAAAAAAAATACTATGAGGGATAATGTATTAAGTTGTCCATTAGCAGTCAGGGCTATGCTGATCAAGTCACCATTTCTCATAGTGTCCATTTCACTTCAGGAGGTTTCCTTTTTGGTGTTCAGTCAGTTGTCACCGATCAGGGAGAACATATGGTATTTGTCCCTTTGGGACTGGCTTACTTCACTCAGCATGATGTGTTCCAGATTCCTCCATTTTGTTGCAAATGACTGGATTTCGTTGTTTCTTACTGCGGTATAGTATTCTAAAGAGTACATATCCCATAATTTCTTTATCCAGTCTACCATTGATGGGCATTTAGGTTGGTTCCAGGTCTTGGCTATTGTGAATTGTGCTGCAATAAACATTAGGGTGCAGACCGCATTTTTCTTTATCAATTTAAACTCCTTTGGGTAAATTCCAAGGAGTGGGATGGCTGGGTCGAACGGTAGGGTTATATTCAGGTTTCTGAGGAATCTCCAGACTGATTTCCATAGTGGCTTGACCAGTTTGCATTCCCACCAACAGTGGGTTAGTGTCCCTTTTTCCCCACATCCTCGCCAGCATCTGTTGTTGGTAGATTTCTGTATGTGAGCCATTCTAACCGGGGTGAGGTGAAACCTCATTGTGCTTTTGATTTGCATTTCCCTGATTGCTAGTGACCTTGAACATTTTTTCATGTGCCTGTTGGCCATTTGGATTTCCTCTTTTGAAAAATGTCTATTGAAGTCCTTGGCCCATCTCTTAAGTGGGTTGTTGGTTTTGTTTTTGTGGAGTTTCTTGATCTCTTTGTAGATTCTGGTTATTAACCCTTTATCTGTTGCATAGTTTGCAAATATTTTTTCCCATTCTGTTGGTTGTCTCTTCACTCTCCTGACTGTTTCTTTTGCAGTACAGAAACTTCTCAATTTGATGCAATCCCAATAGTTGATTTTGGCTTTGACTGTCTGTGCCTCCCGGGTCTTTTCCAGAAATTCTTTGCCTGTGCCAATATCTTGAAGGGTTTCTCCAATGTTCTCTAATAACTTAATGGTGTCAGGACGTAGATTTAGGTCTTTAATCCACGTTGAGTGGATTTTTGTGTAAGGTGTAAGGTAGGGGTCTTGCTTCATGCTTCTGCACGTGGAAATCCAGTTTTCCCAGCACCATTTATTGAATAGACTGTCCTTGCTCCAGGAATTAGTTTTAGATCCTTGATCAAATATAAGTTGGCTGTAGATGTTTGGGTTGATTTCTGGTGTTTCAATTCTGTTCCATTGGTCTATCCATCTATTTCTGTACCAGTACCATGCTGTTTTGATTACAACTGCCCTGTAGTATGTCCTGAAGTCTGGTATTGTGATGCCTCCGGCTTTGTTTTTGTTGTACAAGATTGCTTTAGCTATTCGAGGTCTCTTGTGCCTCCATATGAATTTCAGCATCATTTTTTCTAGATCTGCGAAGAATGTCTTTGGTATCTTGATTGGTATTGCATTGAATCTATAAATTGCTTTTGGGAGAATGGACATTTTGATGATGTTGATTCTTCCAATCCATGAGCATGGAAGATTTTTCCATTTCTTGGTATCCTCTTCTATTTCTTTCTTTAAGGTTTTGTAAT